TCATGTTCATTCCGTAGAATTAATTTTGAGTTGATATCAATGTGCATCATAATTTCTAACAAAATTTTGAGTCAGCCAATGGGATACTCGCTTACATACATCCTATTTTCATAGCAAATTAGTCATGTAAATTATGAATATCAAATGCTTTAATTTAAGATGAACCAGTTTATCCAAGAAAACGATATTTATGATTTAATCTACTCCATACAAGTTTACTTGAAGTAACTCAGAGCAGTCATCAAGATGAATAATGTACATACGTGAAAAGTGCCATCAGAATATGTTTTTTCTTTCTTGTCTGAATGAATCGAGGTGCCAATTCGTTTGAGAAAAAAAAAGACTGTCTCACATATATGATAGATCTATATCTTGTAGATGATCATATTGATAATATTTTTTCTGGCCCGTTACTACTCCTACAAAAAATATTTCCAAGAGCAGAATCACATAAATAACCTTTTTATTTTCCATCTTACTTTTAGTCTTCTACAGTAACAATTCCTGCGATAAAGAGCGAATAAATGTCCTCTTCCCTTTAAATGGGACTTTAATAGTAAAATTGGTCAGATGAGGTTGGTGCTAATGTAGTGACTTCAATGCTAGTTGTACAATTAAAGATAATCTGAAAGTTTGAGTGAAAACATACCATTATTAATGATAACAATTGGGAAAACTGATCTGATCGATTCCTTAATTCTCCCAACTATATTATTACAATTTAATTACATTTTAGGTGAATGTTAATCATTGCAAAACAATGAATTGGCTCTTTATACCATTCCAGTTATTGAATTGTTGACAGATTTTAAAAAGCCTGTCTTATGTCTTATTTTCGTGGAAAAATTCAAAAATGATTGGAAGAATTTTCTGTTTAGACGGTGTCGCGCAGTGATACTTTCAAAGAAAACCATAAATATCTTTGTGGTTTAAGAATATTTTCAGGATTGTTTGCATGTTAGAGGGTTAGTACAGTAAAAGGAATATAATAAGTAACATTTCATACCAAATTTCCGCATTTTTTCATCAACCTTCAACAAGAAAAAAAAAAGAATAAGAAGAGAAATAATTTGATATTGTCACTAGAGCGCTGGATAAAGAACACAGATATTCACAGAAAATGAGTTGATAGTTAAAAGTTAATTCACTAATTATTATAATACTACAATACGAACAATAGCTGAAAAGGTCTTTTAAAATAATGTATTGCTGGCTTTAATATGTAAAAAGAAATGAGATTCACAAAAACGAATGTTTAATGTTCAAGGAGGTGATGTAGAATATGTAAAATGTTCAAAAATTATCAAACTTATCAGTTATCAACTGATCAAACATTCTTTGGGGCATAAGGGACAACCCCTTATTTCATTAAACGTAAATCAGGTTATCGGTTATCAACTGAACACACATTCTTTTGGGTGTAAGGGGCAATGCCCTATTTCATTAAATGTAACTCAAGTCATATGCACTTTAGGGCGAATTTTAATGATTGGATTGCACACCCCATGAAAAGCTTTCAAACGATTCAATTAACATTCATATAAGATGCAAGCGTTTGAATTTCCCCTCATCATATCATTCAAATATTAAGCATCTTCATCAATTAATACATATGGAGTTTAATGATCTGGATGAGAAAATGATACTTTCCAGCCAATGTCATATCCCTTTAATTTTTGAGAAATGCAAACCAATAACGACTTTTTGTTATTTGTTACAAAATAGAAAATAATTAAATGTACAACTGTAGTGTATAGGTTGTCACATCTTGGATGCGAGTTGACATCTTAAAGCGATTCATATCACGTATTATATATTAAGGAGCTATATGAATAAGTGAACAATCTCCTTTATCACTCTTTGTCTTGATTTAATTTGATCTTTGTACTTTGTTAAATAATAACAGCAAGAGTTGTTTGATTTTCGGTAGATCAGAGCGTTCATTATTAATAAATCGCATCACAAAAAATATTTTTTTAAAGCATGTACCAACGGGTACCTGGCATTGCTGGGGAAATAATAATTGTTCAGGCTCTGATTTTCGTTTTTATTCTAACGCATAATGGCCGAGGGCAGAATTTACCCAGCCCCTGTCTTTTAACTGATCTTTAACTGATCAGCGTACATGTCGTTTGTAACGAGTATTATCAATTAATTCAAATTTGAATATCTGATATCAGATTAACCTATATAGGTTATATCATAATATGATGAAGTGGATCCGGATCAAATGATTAGTCGAGAGAGGACATGTGACCAGGCAATACTTTTTTCCTTACACATCACCAGTCATAAGAAAGTGCAAAAGAAAGGTTCCATAGATGGCTATTTGAACGCTTAGATCTATAGTTGTCAGTCGACTTAAAAATGTGGACTTTGGGAAAAGGATGATATACACAAATGACAAGGACCCTCGTAGAAAATGTACAAATATATAATAGACATCATGATATTCGGGTGTTAGTACAATTATCGACCCTTGTCACTCTGGATACAGTCCAAATAGCCTCTGTTGTCAACGCCTCGAATATCGGGCTTTTATCTCCTCAGACTTGTAAAGAAGTAATTTTGTAATAAGATGTATTATCTTTTGTAAAACCGTAATTCGCAAATTTAACGCAACATTTTATGTTTAACTCCAGTAATCATGCATGCTGTACATGATGGGATGCCCTTTAAAATGACACTCCTCCTTGTTTATTTGCTTTCATAAGGTGTATTATTTCAACTTTCTTAAAATCAATGTTTTTGTATCAATCCTTACCCAGTTAAGTTTATTATCACACTTTGACTTGAAGGGTAATATTTCTGATGTAAATTCAATTCCATTCAATTAAGTTCATTTATTTCCATAAAAATCACATTACAAGAACACATACATTTGCAAAAGGTACTGTAATTAACATGCAAAATGTTTAAAAATTAAAATACTAAACAATAATGGAAAAAGAAAAGTTATAAAAACCCAAATAAATGACTTTGTCGAGATATCTCTCCAAAAAGTAATTAAACAAAATGTGATGAACATAATTAAGAAAACTCGTATAACGACAGAAACAAACAAAAAACCCATAAAAGCCCTACAAATACACACATATATATCAAGTGAAACAAAATATTCTACACAAAATCACATGTGATTAGATGCTGCTTTACACTTCTTTTAAATCTGTTGTAATTCATTATAGATGATATGTTATTTGGCAAAGTATTCCATGTTGTTGGTGCTTCATATCTGAAAGAAAATAATAAACAAGATGTTTCAACGACCCATGAATGATATTTATTTCTATTCCTCGTATTATATGTATGAGTTGCATTAGTGAGTGAAAGCAAATTGATTAGGATGTATGAAAAATCATACTAATGGCTAATCGATCATCATTATTATTATTAAGTTCTCAAGAATGTCATAATTGTAGTACTTATCTTGGTCCGCTTTTGTTAAGCAGAGATGGAATACTGTCAGGGAGACGGCAATTAAAAGATAGAGTTGATGGGGATTACTGCTTTTTATGGTTTCTTTTCGGTAAATGGTTTGGATTCGATTTGCCATAGTGTTATAGTTATCAGTGCTCCTGCGGATAACATTTATGTTGAGTGGGTATTTTGTACTCATGGGTGCTTGTATGTGTACGTGGTCGTGTGTGCGTGTGTGTGTGTGTGTGTGTGCGTGTGCGTGTGTGCGTGCGTGTATGTGGTGTGTGAGCGTGTGTGTGTGTATGTGTATGTGTGTGTTTCTTGGTCATGCGCAGTGACATGTACGGTGATACTTTCCTCCTTATTGGGACATGGGGGGGGGGGGGATGGCGGGGATGAATGTTTGAACAAGATTATATATGGGCCTATATGTATCACCATACATGTTCTATATATAACCCTAAATGGTCATAAAACTGGTATATTACCCTAACCCTAACACTAACCCTAACCCTAAATTCAAAACATGTAACTAATCAACCTAATGACTAATGATTAAGCCTATTGTTTCTTGGAAGGCCTTTAAGTTTCCTCTGCTTGCAAAAGTACGTAGAGGGCAGTAATTATATTGTTCAATCGTTAAGTGGACACGCAAATGTCCTGCTAATGACCATGTCTCATTTTTTCCCCTTTACATATGGTTGTCTAATGACGCGGCAAGGTATATATATTTTCAAAGCTATCATATACGTGCTTTTTGAATTTTTAGTGAATAAAGAACATGAAATAAATAAATAATTATCAAGTATTTGGCGTCACCGGTGCCCTTTGACAATACATTAATCTACAGTTGACACTCTACAGCAAGGTGTTAAATGGGTACCAGTGGGTAGAATTCGAATACCTATGAACATTGCAATCGGTAGCCTAGATAGCCCCAGGGTACACTTTAAAAAATATATAATTTTTATTTGTATTATTATGAGTATTGTTGTTATGTTATTTTGTTATTGCTATCATTGCTATTATTTTCATTATATTCATCATTATTAGTATTTCAAAGACGAATCATCCCTATCTTATTCAAATAATTAAACATAGATGTTTATCTAGCAGACCACACCTCTTCTCAGTGATCAAACTCTTTTATCGTGCATTGCACTTTGTCAAATTTTTAGGCTATCGGTTTATAAACATTAGGTTTTTTATCTCCAGAATTAGAAACCAATTAGAAGGGTTCAATTATAACATTAAAGCATTGATTACACGACTTAAGGAAACAATGCACGAACGCTGAAAACACATACTTTCCCCATACTTAATGGTAAATGCTGTATTAACACAAACATGTCTAGCAGATCACACCTCTTCTCAAAGATCAAAGTGCATTGCACTTTGTCTAAATCAGTTTATAAACATTAGGTTTTTTATCTCCAGAATCAGATATCAATAAGCAGGGTTCAATTATAACATTTCAGTCACATTAAAGCATTGATTACACGACTTAAGGAAACGATGAACGAATGCTGCGAACGCATACTTTCCCCATACTTAATGGTAAATGCTGTATTAACACAAACATGTCTCCGACTGAAAACTTGATTATTCTGTTAAGTGTCTTGACCATCTTCAACTCCGGAGTAGTAAGTCAGGATGTCAATCAAATCAGTCTAGAAGATGGAGAATTCAGGAATGTACTTGTAGCCATCGATGAAGGTGTTCAAGAGGACCCCGCCATTATTCAAAAAATCAAGGTTCGTATTTATTGAAGCTCCTATACGGTGGATTGAAAAAAAAATATTCAAGTACATTGTTAAAGGGTTTTTTAAATTTTTTAATTTCACCTAACTGCTAAGAAACATGTGTATGCTTGTCAGTAAGTAACTGGGGAACCAACCGAAATCCTCTTCGATGGACTTGGTAGTGAGGATTTATGCCTTACTAATGGGTACTAGCGCATCGAATTGGTTTCGAGACTACTGTTCTACCACCGAGCAATCACGCCTCATTCATGAAAGTTAAATTATTCATCACCTTTAATATACCTTCACGTGATGTCAAGTTTACTACAGAAGCACAAATTAAAAAGATGTGATTTGCTGGACCTTCTTTCATTGGCATTCAGATTTTAAGCTTCAAAGTCAAAATTAACTCATGTATCCTATGATGATTCAAGTTAAAAAAACAAAGACAATGGATATAGGGTCAACTTGTTAGTGAGGGAAATGCAGATCATATATTCATATGAAGTGAACTTATTTTGCTTACATTTTTCTGTGTAGGATATGTTCGTGATGGGTTCACCTCTTCTCTTCAATGCAACCGAGTTAAGAGCCTTTTGGAAGGAGATTCTGATCCTAGTCCCAAGGTCTTGGACCCGACTATCTTCCTATGGGTTCACTCAGTCCGAGTCCTATAATCGGGCTAATATCCGTATATTCTCTGGCGAAGAGGCTACGGATCCCGTCGTTGTAAACCATTTGCATTGTGGTATGGAAGGGCATCATCTGGAAATGACATCAGGATATTTACAGAGCACCAGTAAATGCCACAGTAAGTTTCAAGGGCATAGATTAGTCCTCAACCATGGCAACTGTTGGTGGATCAAGTCTAAGGGCTCAAATTATTTCATTCTTTAAACCAAAAGATTATTCTCGGTAGTTGAATTGTGTTGCAAATTCACTGTTCGTGAGTACATTTTAATATATATATTTAAAAAAAATGTCCTTAATATTTTGAGGTCATTTGACTTTTTCATGAAGACATTTGAATTGCAGTCTCGCGAGCTCAAATGACATGAAACAAAAATACCCTAGTTTTAGTATTTATCCTAACCCAAATAACGTGATCCTGACTCCAAAATATGAATTGATATTTCTGTAAACACTAGCCATTGGACTTTGCTTCCACACCCACAGCATTTCATTCATTACCTAATATTCAGAATATTATTGTCTTTTAATGTTTAGAAGACATCTCGATATTATTGTCTGTATCGTTTGGACAATGTGCAATTCTACCTCGGGTATCATTAAGTGGAGATACTTATTCATGTGTAAGACAGTAGCGTCAGTAACATGTATAAATGAACAAATCGGAATTTACAAAACTAGACTGACAATTTTTTGGAAGTGTTTTTCTTTTTTTTGGAAAAGCATCAAACAAACCAAATTTGTGAGACAACAATAGAAGCCAAATACAATTTCCAATATTATATTCTTTTGTTGGTGTTGGTGTTCGGCAATCGATTGGAGATTAATCGGCAACCGATCGTATATCATTCGTCGATCAACTGCCGACGATCAGTCGGTAACCGAGAAAATGCTTTGCCCGTCCAGTTTAGTGGTCAAAGATTTTACATTTTTCTGAAGTTAAATTCTTCGTGGTTTTTTGTGAACGTTTGGAGATTAATCGGTGACTAATCGTTTATTGCCGAACTGTTCTCAACCAAATACCGCTCGACGATCGACGGCAAGCACTGTAGGGGAGTTCAGCCGGCGATCAGTCTGAAACCGTCGCCTACCCTTGAAAAACGGAGAAAAACCTACCCACTACCGGTTTTGTCGGCAAAAGTCGGTCAATGTAGCACCGTAAACCTTGATTAATCCAAAATGCTTAGAAGACTCATATTGCGGATCACTGACAACCTTTTAAAGATTGCCAAAAACCTCTCTGCTTATACGATTTTTCCAACCTAATCAGGTTTTAATCAAACTGTACTTTTGCCTGTACCCCCTTTTTACTTTCGTTCCCAGATATGGACATTGTGAGGTATTGGGCTAGACTGCGATGGGGCCTGATGCCTGAGGACTATATTGGTGATGACAAGACTGCACCATCTTACATGGACAGCGACGGTGCGTGCCAAGCAACCAGATGCTCTCTGGAAATCGAAGGTCGTTTGTCTGATCCCATTACAATGCAGCCATGTCAAGCCAGACATGATTGCACGTACGGCGAGGACTGTGTCTTTCAAACCGAAGGTTGCTCCGGAAAACAGTGTTCATCGCTTATGTTTGGTTCACACTGTGTAGAATCCGTACGTATGTTTATATTCACAAGTTTCTATCAATCATTACAAAGTTTTATCAATCATTAGATTACAGAATGTATTTATATATATTATCATATAAAAGTATGCGCACATTTGTTAGTGAGCTATTGTTATTTTGGAGACAAACAAACTCATCGTTACAACTGACATTATATTGAAATTATATGTTGCCCATGCTTTATCGTAAGGAGCGTTTGTCCCTTATTCACATAATTGGATCACAGTATTGCCGTTTTAGTTACGTCATAACTAACCTTCTGATTTAGTTTTTCATATTTAAAATGATATTATTTCAAACAAATTGATTAATTAACCGATTTTATTAGTCCATCTACTAATAGTGGGACTGAAGAAACATTTTCCTTCTTATTCCTTACAGATAGTGGAATTCTGCAATAGTAACACCAAAGATAAACATCGCTATCACAATTTCGAGGCTCCAAATCTCCAGAACATCAAATGTGCTAAAAGTGCATGGGATGTCTTACACGATAGTGACGACTTTGTAGACGAGAAGAATCCACCTATGCCAGGGAGTACCAATACTGCACCAGCTTTCAGGATTCTACAGCCTCCTAAAGATAGACATGTTGTACTCGTTCTAGATATTAGCGGAAGTATGAACGTAAGTATACATTAGAAACCTACAATAGAACGAAATGAGATCATCAATATGATCATCAATTGTTGCGTCACAACTTTGTCTTCAGTCCTCCGGATTAGTTTTCTTGCTTTCCATGTCTTTCTTATTTTAATCTTCAATATTCACTGGACTTCTTGAAGCGACTTGGATGTCGAGTGTCATCAGCAAATCCAAGACGCGTAAGATAGTCACCATGTAGGCCTAATACTGAACACAATTGTTTGTCAGTTCAGTGGTACTTATCTCTGAATATTTCATTCTTTGTTTTCCTATCTTCAGAATGCAAATCGTTTCAACAAGTATATACAGGCAGCAACCATCTTTATCATGGACCTGGTACCAGCTGGGAGTGAAGTAGGCATTGTCTCATTTCAAAATTACGCTATTAAGGCCCGGTCACACAGAGGGGACGCATGGGGGACGCACGGCCGGCGCATGGAAAATTGGCAATTTTGGCCAGTGCGTTGTCGTGCGCCCAACTTTTGTCGAATTTATACAGCTAGCTGACACCAAATGCATAGCGCGCTGGACGCATACAGGGCGTATACAGGGCGCACACAGGGCGCACACAGGGCGCACACAGAGCGCACATGAAAACAACTCCCACGAATGCACAGCGTGTTGCTAGCGCGCTGGAAGAATGGTCCACGCATGCACCGCGTTCTACGACGCACGGCCAGCGCATTGGAAATCGGAAAAGAACGTGTGCCTAACTTTTGTCAAAATTTTGGAAAAGCTAGCGAGCTGACACAAAATGCACGGCGTGTAGCTAGCGCGCTGTGCGTATACAGGGCGTGTGCTCCGCGTTTGTCTGGCGCTGGTCTAGCGCGCTCCACGCATGTCTGGCGCTGGTCTAGCGCGCTCCGGCGCATGTCTGGCGTGCCTTTGGCGTGTATATTCATGCGTCGAGCTCGGCGCACGTTTTTGAGCATGCTCAAAAAATCCCGACGCACACAGCGAATGACGACGCATGCATAGCGCTGGTCCAGCGTTGGTCCAGCGCGCTCGACGAACGAGTAACGAATGATGACGCACGCCTAGCGAACGACAACGCACTGGCCCAAATTGCAAATTTCCAATGCGCTGGCCGTGCGTTCCCCATGCGTCCTCCCTGTGTGACCGGGCCTTAACGAATGCACTTCTCCACGAGATACGAGACGATGCCAGTTCGAGAGAAGACCTAGTAAACCTTCTGCCTCCTTCTACTGGAGGGTCCACATGCATCGGTTGTGGAATACAGGAAGCCATCAATGTAAGTCATTCTCTAAACTATCTTTAATCTGATGTCCTGTATGTGTCACGTTGGACGTGAGTATATTTTGTAGCGATTACAAATCTTATTGTGCCCCATTTTAATTACTGAAGCATACTGGATAGATTAGATATCTGAACGTGAATCTAATGTTATAATAAAAGTGGTCGTTACGCAGTCGCGAATGAAGAGTTGGATTGACAATCCGATCTTTGCTAACTTTGAGTGTTGGTAATTGAATTGTACATGTACATCGAGTATGTCGAGCACAAGTGAAACAATTTTGCTGCGTTTTTTTCAGGCGCACTATATGCAAATTTGACCTGCAAATTTAAAAAAAACTCCAAGGAAACATGCTGATAATTATGACAAAATTTATATGGTATCAGAGATTGATCTATACACGATCAGGACGACTCAATTTATTTGCTCATTTCTCAAGTAGCCTGATAATTTTTTGCCAAAGTCATCTTGCAAAAGTTTTTCATTTGTATGATTAAACTTTATTTTGAATGATATCATGAGAGTTCAAGAACTCAATTTCAACTTTTAAAATTGGTAAATGTATCGGAAAGCACACAACTAATATTAAATAGATATTGTAGGCTGATAAAAGCAGTGATTTTATGTGCAAAAATAATCAGGATATTGGTCGTTGACGAGGGGAAAACGATTATTATCAATCTGTGCAAATGTGCATAACTGATTAGGATGAATGAAGATAATTTACCCGTTTCTTATCCCTCTCTTTTTATCGGCTTGCCTGCCTCACCTTTTCTCCTTTGATATTTTGTTGTTTTGAAATGAAATAATTGAGGGTATGACTAGACATCTAGACAGCGGGGTTCAAAATACAAATCAATAATGTGTCATTACTTCCCTTTGTTTTGAGCATTTGCAGTACATATACGATGCAACTGAATGAACAGAATTTGTGTTAAAAAAAAAAATCCGGATGGGAAACTAGCAATCAATTTTCCTTGGTCCTATAGATCCTGGGAGTAGACTCAAATGGCAGCTATATTTTCTTACTGAGTGACGGGGAAGAGAACCGTAGTCCATATATCCGCGATGTTTTACAAGACGTCAATACGGCTGGAGTAGTTATCGATACTGTCGCTATTACTCAAGACGCCGATCAGCAGATGGAGGATTTAGCTAATATGACTGGTGGCAGATCATTCTTCTGTCATGATCTCAGAAGCAGTGCATGTGTGACAGACGCCCTACTATGGACTATCGTTGAAAGACCACATCTAAACACAGCCCAAGCTCCAATTGTGGTAAGTAAAACACCAGCTCTTAAGTCACATTTTATGGCAGATGGCATTTATTTATTTATTTATTCCGTTTTATTTAAACAGGGTAGCCCTGTCACTCATCAAAGTACTGTTCATCAAAGCAGTTCTGGTAACAGTTTTGTTTCTTAATAGGATTTTTTTTCTTCATCAAGAGGGGTACCCCTTGAGCAAGGGGTTTCAACAATGTGAGATAGATTACTTTAATTTAGTTCATGAAATGAATCTATATATACTTACTTAAATCTTGGAGAATAAATACCTGGGAAATTGTATTATGTCATTCTAATTATAATCTTTAAAACATTAATTTACTGTTATTAGGTGAAGATCACGGACGTCAAAGTACCACCCAGACCAGATGCAATCATTACGACAGTGGTTATCGGTGAAGAGGAGGGCAATGACACTATGATGGCTGTTACATGGCTTGATTTCTATGATATGGATGTCATAGTTGAAGGACCACATGGTGAATTCATCGATGAGTTACATCCTAGCTACACCATTGACAGAGCGACAAAAATTATCACTATCCGAATACCTGTAGCATCGGTAAGATCAAAATTTGCAGATTAAATCGTACTAAATTTATGTATCCAGAGGTTTCTTCTACAAAGATTTGTTAAAACTCAGCTTAAAAACAAAAAGATTAAACAGATTTGACTTTAAAGGTACTTAGTAACATTGTGATGGTTGATTTCACAAATCTGTTGAATCAGGATGCAAAACACGTAAAATTATGTTTGTATGTATGGATTATCCAACTACGATGCCCCAAATCCGAAATTAATTCACGCAATATGAAGATTTTTAACAAAGTTCAACGGTTTTTCGAACGGGCGTCGATGTGCGGCGCTTCTGAATCTAAATTCTCCCAACCATTTTTGAATTTTTCCAACCGTTTTTCCATGAAAAAAAATAAATAAAAACAGGCTATAAAAAAATCTGTCAACACTTAAATGTCTGGAATGGAATGTAGAGCCATTTTATTGCTTTGTGAGATTTCCATTCACGTAAAATGTAATTAAATTGTAATAATATAGTTGGGAGAATTAAGGAATTGATTGGATCAGTTTTTCCCAATTTGTACCATGCATAATGGCCCGTTTTCGCTCAAATGTCAGATTATCTTTAATTGTACATCTAGCATTGAAGTCAATACCTTAGCACCACTATCTCTCATCTGAACGATGTTACAAAGTCCCTTTAATAAAAACAATTCAATTTTACGTATTTAGAATTTGCCTTTATGTTTGAAAGTAGGATCATTAATGTAAACTGAAAACATGATCGCAAATAATTCTTCAGGCAATTTCAAATGTACGAACTTTACGATGACACATTGGCCCGAATTCACAAAGCAAGGTTTGAGCTCAGACCAAGGTTTGTCGTCAAACCTCCTTTTGTTTCGCCAAACCTCCTTTTGAAAAGAACAAAAGGAGGTTTGGCGAAACAAAAGGAGGTTTGACGACAAACCTTGGTCTGAGCTCCAACCTTGCTTTGTGAATTCGGGCCATTACGTTACTTATCTGAACATCGTTTCTGTAGGCAAAACAACATGTACTAACAATTTCCTTGGGTTTATTTCATGACAGTCTTGCAATAGCCGTAAAGCTTGTCACTTCTTAGATATTAAATTTCCTTTGCAGCCTTCAGGTGGAATGTCACCATTCTTCATAAAACTTTCCAGTGATTCTGGATACTAATATTTTTTTCTTGAATCCTTCTGTGATTTCTTAATAGCCTGGTAATTGGGATATAACAATGCTTCATAATGAGGTGTCCATTGAGACTGTAGGAGTGACAGTAACGACGAAACCAAGGCAGACCGGTGATGAGATTGCGGACGTTCACGTCTTCTTAAGCACAAGGGTTAGTAAGATTATAAATAGTTTCTTGAATAAAACTCCAACGTTCGCTGAGGGCATTGGCCTATGTATTAAAACAAGTATTGAAACCACAAGCGATTAAGGAAAGTCCAATGTGAATTGTTATTAATATAAACCGATTTTTTTGTGAGAAATGAGAACCGGATGAATCGTAATAAGTAAGGACATGGGTCGGAGTTTCAGTAACAAAACATGGTAGGATTTTTTTTATAACGGAGTGGATCTTCCATTATAGAACTTGTAAATAAGGGGGGGGGGGGGAAGAAGTAAAAGCTTAAAGGGAAATGCAACCTTAATAGCGAAGGACTCTGAAAGAAAGCAGGAAAATCATAGAAGCAGACTGGTGGAAGTTTGAACGCAATCGGACAATACATAAAATAAAGTTATTTATTTTTGAAAACTATGCGTTACTTAAATTTGGCTGAATCGGTGATGTCAATGTACGCACATAAACTTATTTTTCAATAATTTTTTTTGACTCGGGAGAGTCTTCTATCTTTAGAGGACCCACAATAATAAACTATCCAAGATATATTCTTAGTGGTAACCAAAGGGAGAAGACACTTGGGAGAAAATATTTTTGTACACGAAAATTTGGAAAGTTGTCGGTGACTAGCTCCAGTGATGTCATATTTCAAACATTCACAACTCTTTTATGATTGGTCCGATTTATTTCAGACTTTCGCCATTCTGTTTCTCTTACTTTTCTGCTTTCATACAAATGAACTTATTCCAAGGGTTAGATTGCCCTTAAAAAGCTTAGATCTGCCAGTATGCATTATTCTTTGATCTAATTGTTGTCTTTTTTGGTTACAGAACGTCAACTTCAAGGAAGACCCTAAGCTAGGAATATTTGCACTGGTTCAAAGAGGACACAACGTCGTCAAGAATGCAGACGTTCAAGCTGTCGTAGGAAATTCGATAGGTTCTATCACATCAACAATTCAACTCAATGATTTAGGAACAGGTAGATATTAGTTTGGTTATCCCACGGGACAAACAGACCACGAGACCGACAACACACGAGACCAAAAACCCACGAAACAGATAACCCACGACACCAACAGCTCACAAGAGAGACAGCCCACAAAAAGACAGCCCACGAGACCGACAAACCACAAGACCGTCAACCCACGAGACAGACAGGCCACGAGACTGACAACCCACGGGACCAACAGCACACGAGACCGACAACCCACGAGACCGACAAACCAGGGGACAGACAGGCCACGAGACTGAAAACCCACGAGACAGACAGGCCACGAGACTGACAACCCACGGGACCAACAACCCACGCGACCAACAACCCATGAGACCGACAACCCACGAGACAGACAGGCCACGAGACTGAACACCCACGAGACAGACAGGCCACGAGACTGACAACCCACGGGACCAACAACCCACGCGACCAACAACCCATGAGACCGACAACCCACGAGACAGACAGGCCACGAGACTAAAAACTCACGAGACAGACAGGCCACGAGACTGAAAACCCACGAGACAGACATGCCACGAGACTGAAAACCCACGAGACAGACAGGCCACGAGACTGAAAACCCACGAGACAGGCAGGCCACGAGACTGAAAACCCACGAGACAGACAGGCCACGAGACTGCTAACCCACGAGACAGACAGGCCACGAGACTGAAAACCCACGAGACAGACAGGCCACGAGACTGAAAACCCACGAGACAGACAGGCCACAAGACCGACAACCCACGAGACAGACAAGACAGAATCAAAATCCGGAATAAAGAACAAATACAAGAATTGCATCAGTAAAATTAATGCACTTAGAGCAGCTGGGCTAACGCCAGAGTAACAATAGGCTTATATATAGTACTTTCTAAGCACCTTGAGCATCCCCGATGATAATTACATGTACACTGTAAATGTAGCTATTATTGTTATTGTTATTATTATTATTATCATTATCATTAACATTATTATCATTGCTATTTTTATTGTTATCGTCGTCATCATCATCATTATTATCATCATTATTGCTATTACTATTTTGTATTTGTATTTGTATTTATTAACATTTATTTCCTTCTCTACAGCACAATATAAAACACAATGTATATAGACATGATATATGTAACAATTATTTCAACATTCAGTATACAGTAATTAATTCAGATACGGAAGGAGGCGAAAACCCGGAAAGCGTAGCTTGAGTTGGGAACGCCAATAATAAATTAACACAGTTACCGAAAGAACATTATAGATATTATTATGAAAATTACATTGTATATAACAGAACGTTGATAGGAAAGAAAAAATAATGAAAGGAAGAGAGGAGAGAATTAAGTATAGGAAGGCATGTTCACTTATAAAGAGAAAGTTAAATCAATTGGGCTGTACATGTGTCTGCGATTAAATCAGAAAGATAACGAAGTACAATTGTAAAATAGACAGCGGGTACATATCATTACAAACAAGCAAAATCATCAAACAGACAACAGCTTTATCCGACAGCATTGTCCTGGGAATATACAGATGGTTCTAGCAACAAGTTATCAAAGTAAATAAATAATCGGTCATACAAACATGTCATTAAATTCCACAAAAGATCATTTCACACATAAATACAAGAGAGGGTATCAATATTGAGCAATTAAATACATTTTTGCCTTACGGGAAAAAGTCTGCAAGGAGAGCGATTTGTGTAGAATAGATGGTAAGGTGTTCCAAAATTTTGGCCCAGAGTATCGAATGTCAAATTGAAATCTTCGGGTTCTATGTTTAGGGAGACGAATGTTGGCAGCGCTTCTCGTATTATACGTATGGGTTTCCGAGTTGCATTTAAAATTGATAAAATCACTAAATTGTGATGGGAAGATGTTATTCATGCTTTTATACATGAAAATACCCTGTTGGTGCAAGTTAATATCACTAAATCTCAAGAAAATAATTTGTTTAAAGATGGGACCAGTATGGGAACGATAGTGCATTCCGGATATTATACGAATAATCTTCTTCTGCAATAGTATAAGCCTTTGTATTTTGTACTTGCAGGAATTCGCCCAAACAAGATTACAGTAAAAAAATATATGGAAGTATAAGAGCACAATATAACATACGTAGAATGTGATTGGGCAAGAGATGTTTGAGTCTGGATATAATGCCAATGTTTTTGGACACCTTATTTTCAACTTCGATTATCGATTATCGATGCTAGTCCATGTTTCTATATCACATTTATATACTTAATAGAATGATTTATGATTGATAAACGCTACCTATGTTTAAATCAGTCATTGCCGTACCATATTGTCATTAAATGTATTACCCATATTTTTTTCAGGTTCCGATTTCATGAAGGATGACGGAGTATACTCGGGATACTTCCTAAACTTCGATGCCGATGGTAGATATAGTGTCACGGTAAACGTTCTTGGTGCAGCCGCTTCAAATATCAGTCATACAGACAGAAGTAGGTAGTACACTTACGGATTTAATGGGGAGAAGCACAACTGACCAGTGCCCTTTTTTTTAACCCAATCTACTGTTCCTTTCTTCCATATTTGTTTTCTTCGTCAGTATTGTGTCGCCGTCTTTTGGAGAGTCCGGATAGATCCCGTCTCAGAGTAGTAACAATGAATCATATATTTACAAAGCATGATACAAAGTGTATCATGGACCTTGAACAAGAACATTCATTATATATGTAATACGATTTTGTTTGAGGCGAAACACATAAAGAAATAATTAGTGTTTAGGTTCAAACTTAACTGGTGTCAAAACGATTTAAAATTTAATGAATCAGAATTAGGTGGATTGAATTGCTAATGGTGAGAACAAATCTTGAATATCATTCATGATAGGTCTTTGAACTATCAAATCATTATTTACTCATGATTTTTTAGCTAATGAGAGGGTATCCGTTAACTTTTGTCTCCAGCTAGATTGATCCCATACAAAGATAACGTTCCAATTTTGAGAAACAACTGTAGCAAACTTCTACTGTCAAAGCAAAAGCAAATCTAAATATGAATTATTTTTCAAGTTCTACATGTAAGTAGGTTTGGATGATGACTGCCGTAAGTATAATAATACATGCAGTTAACATATCATACCTTTCTGTTGTTGCTTATTGTTTTTCCACTCCTGGCTCTTTCGTACGCATTTACAGAACGACGGGCCATAACTCCAACCCCACCATCTGTCCCCTCTTCATTCATGCGGTCAGCATCAGGTGGTGTCTTTGCAGTGAATAACTACATCCCGAATGCTCCCGATGTCTTAGCTCCATCCCGTATCCAGGATCTTGCCTATTCTTCATTCTCTTATGAGAATGCAACGGTTATTCTCACCTGGACGGCTGTAGGAGATGACCTCGACCAAGGAACAGGTAGGGGCTACTTTGGCGCCGAAGGAAGAGAATGCCGTTACCCTGGTTTTATATAAATTCCATTGTTTTTACATAGACGTAGCCGATTTACGCATTGTTCGTTGTGTTACTTTGCTTTTCAAAAAGTGTATGTCCTTCGTTTACATTTCATAACTCCAATACTTTGGAGAAGGATTAAATATGTTGAATAAAGTGAATTTGAAATAAAAATTAAAAGAAAGGATATATGAATAGAAAATTGATGGGTTTTGTTTAGTTAAAACACTAATTGTATTCTTATTATTGTAGCTTTAGTGCTCAAACGCTTTAAATGTTTCATGGTCTTGAAGGAGGAATAAAAACAGTTTGACGTTACATGCATTGCAAAAATGAGACAAGGGACCCCTGGTATAAAAGTTAAAAAGTTAAAACTTTGATACAGCTGAGGACGCAGGTTCGAAACTGAGTCACCTCTTTCGGAAGGTGACGTTTGAAGGTTGGTCGCCAGACGTAAATAATCATATCTGATTGATACACGTCTGTAAAACCCCAACACACACACACACACACACACGCAAATTGTTTCCAACCAATCAGGCTTGTTTATTTTGAATTTGTGTTTAATCTTCTTGAGTTTTGTTTGAATGCATTTTTTGTGTGAATAGGCCCAAGGATTTTTGTATTGATATATGAATAAATCATGTAGGTAAATTGCCTGCACAATAGACATACTGGTGATAATGAGGGATTTGATGCAATTACGTGAAGTATGTTGTTACCACGTATTGCTGTTCTGCCAGAAGACATACATGAATATGTAAGAACTTACACAATTTGTTTATACCATGTTCGTAAAACTACTCAATTAAAATATTAAATGTGTCGTTTACAGCTTCTGAATACGAACTGAGGTACTCCAATGACTTCGATGTCCTGAGGGTAAACTTCACTGAAAATCCACTGGTCAACGATCACCAGATCATCGATGGAAACCTATCTCGGATATCTCCTGGTGGTCAGTCAGAGACATTGACCATCCTACTTCCTGTCCTTCATTACGATCTCAACTATTACTTTTCTATTCGAGCTTTGGATGAAGCAGGAAATGCAGGAGCTATTTCAAACATTGTTTCCTTGCCGATTATAGAACCGTATTTTGTTTCCACCTCAGCTCCTAGTTCGACAACCACTGTTCAAGACTTTACCGATGGTACCACTGTCACAACATCGACCATAACAGAGCCACCGTCCAAAGAACCCGAGGCAACTAAAGGACCTGATGAATCAAAAGACCTGGGTCTTATCATAGGTCTGACCGTAGCCTTTATCCTTGTACTTTTAGTTTGTGCTCTTGTTTATGCAAAGTTCTTTTACAAGAAAAAATTCACCCCACGATATGCAGAAGGTGTGAATCATTCTGGAGAGAGCTACCAGTCCACTGAAAACCCGTCCCATGCTAACCCTGCGTATAACGGATCATAAAGTACTTTGCAGTTCCTTTTTAATATAGTTCTAAGAGATGCACCTAGACTATTAACAGTAAATTACAGGCGTATAATTATCAATGCTACGATGACAAGAATAAAAATATTTAAATATAAGAAGAAAACAACCAAAAAATAATAATAAGAAGAAGAAGAGACGAAAAATTCGATTATTTTTTTAATTATCGGAATATTTTCATGTACCCAAAGAAATCAATGTGCTTTTCTTCTACTGAAAGAAATTGATGCAATAGAGTGATCCTGTTCATTCCATAAACTTAATTTTGAGTTGATATCAAAGGGAAGCATAACTTATAACAAAATATTGAGTGTCACTTGACACTTTTCCCAGCCAATCGGATTCTCGCTATCAAATACCCTCTTTTTACATAACAAATTAACCTTATGAATATCATTTTTTGGTGTATATAAGAAGAACCAGTTTATCCAAGAAAACGATGTTAAAAGTTTAATATATCTATCTAATAAATGCACTGAGACTGATAATAGTGAGCTGCATGCGTAGCATTACCTATGCTTCGATGACAACAATAAGAATATTTAATGATATAAGAAGAAGAAGAAGAAAAAAAAATTCAACTGTTTCTACTTATTTTTATAATCGGAATACTTTTATGTACCCAGAAAAATCCACGTGCTTTTCTTTTACTGAACAAAAATGATGCATTATATTGATCTTGTTCATTTCGTAGAATTGATTTTGAGTTAATATCAAAAGGCATCCTAACTTATAACAAAATATTGAGTGTCACGTGACACCTTTTCAGCAAATGGGGTACTCGCTAACAAATATCATATTTTTAAAAACAAATTAACCATGTAAATTATGAATATCAAATGTTTTTGGTTGTATATAAGAGGAACCAGTTTACCCAAGAAAACGATGTGTACACTCTAAGAAAAAAGGGTGCAAAAAGGGTGCAAAATAAGAGTTTGCACCCTTTACATAAAAATAAACCCTATTGAAGGAAAGGGGTTCAAAAAGGGTGCAATATAAGATTTTGCACCCTTCCCACAAAAATGAACCCTATCGACCAAAAAAGGGTGCAAAATAAAAGTTTGCATATTGCATGCATATTCATGATTAATTTCCACGTGTTAACATAAAAATACATTTATCATGATTTGTTAAGCAAATTATGACAATGCACATCAATTTTGTGATTTGTATTTTCCTTTGGCAATCATTAACCAATAGATTATTTTGTCTGATCATGTTACAATTACATTCACGTTTTAGCAATAAATATATTGATTTTTGTATTACTAACCAAGAAACATCATGCATGTTTAATATGTATTTGTGTACGAGCAAATTTTACCAGTATTCCTCGATGATGGGTGCAGGATTGCACCTTTTAAAGGGTGCAGGATTGAACCCCTAAAGGTGCTGCTACTGCATCGGTTTGCACCCCTAATGGAGCAGGATTGAACCATTGAGGGTACTAACATATCTCCTAAAAGGTGCAATCTGGCACCCTCTTAAAGGGTGCAGGATTGAACCCATAAAGGTGCTGCTAGTGTTGCATAGGTTTGCACCCCTAAAGGTGCAGGAATGAACCATAAAGGGTACTATTTCCCCTAAAAGGTTCAATCTGGCACCCTTTTAAAGGGTGCAGGATTGCACCTTTAAAAAGGGTGCAGGATTTAACCCCTAAAGGTGCTGCTATTGTTGCATCGGTTTGCACCCCTAAAGGTGCATAGTTTAATCTATCTATCTAATAAAGGCACTGAGACTAATAATAGTTAGCTGCATGCGTAGCATTACCTATGCTTCGATGACAAGAATAAGTATATTTAATGATATAAGAAGAAGCAGAAGAAGAAGATGAAGAAGAAGAAGAAGAAGAAGAAGAAGAAGAAGAAGAAGAAGAAGAAAAAAAAAGAATTCAACTGTTCCTACTTATTTTTATAATCGGAATACTTTTATGTACCCAGACAAATCCACGCGCTTTTCTTTTACTGAATAAAATGATGCAATATATTGGTCCTGTTCATTCCGTAGAATTGATTTTGAGTTGATATCAAATGGCATCATAACTCATAACAAATTGTTGAGTGTCACGTGACACATTTTCAGCCAATAGGATGCTCTTTAACAAAGAACATATTTTATATAACAAATTAACAATGTACATTATGAATATCAAAAGTTTTGAAATATGAGGAACCAGTTCATCCAAGAAAACGATATTTATAACTTAATTTACTCCATAACAGTGCACTCGAGGTAACTCAGAGCAGACCTCAATAAAGAATAACGTACATGTGTAAACAGCGCCATCAAGATTTTTCTGAATGAATTGAGGTGCCAATTCGTATGAGAAAAGCGACTGTATCACATGTATGATAGACCTATGATTTTGTAGATAACTAAAAGTCCCTAAATTTCCTACTTACATGTGATTTATTTCCACCTAACGTTGATTTCCTTTGATTTTGATTAACTCCATTTAAAATACACACTGACTGATCCAATTATATCTTAACCTCTCTCCAATTAAAGAGGACCCCGAAATCTAAATTCATTGTATTCTTTAGAAAGATTTGTGTCAGTGTTGATCATATCATGACTCTCTCATTTATATTGAACCATTTTACCTTACGTAATAATTGTCCATGACCTGGCATCGTTCATGGTATTAATCAGAGTCTAATCAACAGGTCAACGAAAGTAAACCTGTACTCCTTCTCTATCCCTTTACTGTCCTTCTTTGCAAGTTACCCCCAATCATTCTATCTCTCTTTTGTTATATACATTTTTGTTTAGAAATTATATCTTAGGGCTGTAAGCACATCAAGCTTCATGGTTATAATTCACCTTCTGTATCTCATTTATGCTTAATATTCCTTCGACATGTCATTCATTTTGATTTCTCATGTTTTCTATATGTATAGAGTTATATTAATATTGTACCAACTTTATATCTATGCTCATTGAAATGTATAGAAGAGGTTCAGATTTATTATACATCCATTAAAATAAGATCGAATCTAAATCAAACTCTCCTGACCTGTGTTTGTGACTTAATGTTTAAAGGAGTGATGGATACAGTTTTCATGTGCTACTATTTCGATGAGATTCGGGTCTTCTTAAAGGTACTATTCGTGGATTACCATTTTTCATATGCTTCATAGCTTCCATTCTCGCAGTCCGAATACTAAATTTGCAAAGGTGACAAAATAATGTACATGATTACAAATCAAACACATGATTACAAATCAAACACATGATTACAAATCAAACAAAAGCACAACATTCACTTGTTTCAAAAAGTCCAGTTTAAAAAAAATATAAAACTTACAGATTTAGAGAAAAATCAAAATCAAAATTCAGTTTAGTTTAATACACAACAGCAAAATGAAAAGAAAAAAAACACATTTTGTTTTATTGTCAGTCAGGAAAAATATCTTAGTAGAAATGTGTCCTTAATAAGATTGCTTTTTAAATTATGATAGAAATATAAAGAGAAATAGTATAAATTTTGGGACCACGCATTCGTGCCACTCGTGTGTATAGTTCTATATATACCCACTTCAATGAGCAGTTCATGTGCTTTTCATCGAGATTGAGTCCATTTCCTATTATATTTTCGATAATTCCAAAAATCACAGTTGACGCCAATATTTATGTACTATCAACTTTTTCCAATAGCTTCCAGACAGTTTATCTCTCCGTGAACATGACCAGGGGACTGTTTCATACAACTTGTAATCAATAACAAATGCTAAAATTCTATGTTAAATTGCATTCAGCCAATCAAATGCAACGAATTTAGTAGTTAATAACAGTTATTGGAACCTGTTATTGATAACATATTTCATGAAACCGGGCCCCGAGCACAACTTTATTTTTTTAGAAAAGTATGAACAAGACTTATTAGTTGACATTTTTCAATAAGTAAGTTACCCTGCATCGCTGTATGAATTTGGTTCGGTTGTTGTTAATTGTGTCGTTTTGTTTTGTTTTGATTAAACAAATAAAATCAAAGTAACAATTCAACACTCTGACGTCGTTGTGACTAGTTGATTTTTTTTCTTCTTCATTTGGTCTGAGAAGTTACAAAAATTGAAGGTACATTAGCACTGGGAATTTTTAATATATGTTTTTAGAGTAATACGAGCCTGTTTTTGTATACATGTACATGTATATTAAACAAGATAGTAAATGCAAAATTTAATGTGAAGTACCAATTTGGTAAATGACTAAGTACTTTGAACCCTAGTTCATCTCGAATATCATGAACAATCTCCATTCGATAAAACCACTTTCTTATCTGAATATGCTTTTCCTCTCTCCTGATTTTGAAAGTTTAGCCCTTTATAATATATGTAGACTTTCAAGGCCTAGGTACATAAAGTTAACTTATGGTGCAAATCTTGGTTATACCGAAATCAGACTGCGTAATTGATGACTCGATGGATGGGTCTTAATGGAGAGCTGAGAGGATATCTTCGTTTTCTTTATTTTCATCAGATGCTATCAATATGTTATCGTATATCAGGAGAAACAAACATGGATTGAATTTGATCTCTCTCTTTATTTCTGACCATCTACAGACCTAAAATTGATAAATCACTTAAGGAAATATTGAGTGAGAAGGAATATCCTGAATGGGGATTGACCTCCTTGGATCTTGGACAGAAGGTTTCCGTCCAGGCATGGCTGTCAAAACCCTAACGACAGCTGAGATCTAAACCCCTTCCGAATATCCATCCGAACCAGAAGCCATAGATGATCTGATGTGCGAATGATATCCATGTTCAAAGAACGCAGTCGATATCATAGACAATATAAATAATAATAATATAATAATACTTTGTTCTTTTATAGCGCATTTCATGTCTTTTGACATTTCAAGTGGATATCATAGACAATGCGTATAATAATAATTCAATAATACTTTGTTCTTTTATAGTGCAATGTATGTCTGTTGACATTTCAATGCGCTTTCGAATATACATATATATATATAC